GTTGAGGGGTATTAGAATCCGTACCATTATCGGTTTGTGCTTGCGGGGCACTTTGCGGCGAGCGAGTCGGAGGCTGACGGACTTCAAGCAAAAGGGAAACCGTCCTTTCAAGTTCGGCTAACCTAGACGCTTGTTGCAAATCCTTCTCTTGCAGAGCTAGAATGGTGGCATCACGTTCGGCTACGGCACGTTGTGCTTCTTGATAGAGGTATTGGGTCTGAGCTTGGGCCTGGGCCTGTTCAGCATTAGCTCTGTTGCGAACCTCTGCTGCGTACCTTTCAGCTAAAGCCCTAGTCTGACCTACCTCTTGATGGGCCTCAGAAACGACAGTTTGCGCTTGAAGCCTAAGCACCTCGGCCTGTTGCCTGGTTGCCTCCTCCTGTTCCGCAGCGCCAATGGCTTGCTGCCTCGCATTGAACTCATGCTCGCGTGCATAGCTCACGGCCTGTTGAGCCTGGGTTACAAGGTTCATTGCCTGATGCCTAAACAACCCTTCCCTTTGTTGGGCGGCTTCCCGGAGTTCCCCCGCCTCCCTTCGGGCCTGCTCAGCCAGCAGTTGCTGTTGCTGTGCATGTTCAGCGGCCTGAAGCGCGACATCGGAAGCATGGTGAGCACGTTGAACGGCGGCACCCGCAACAAATGCAGCAGCTGGGAGGTTCTGGGTTGGATCGGGCGTTCCAGCCGGCTCTGATGAGGATGGTTCTGAAACGAACATACGCCTAACAGGGGTTGCATCGGAACCTGGTGCAGGGCTATTAGGGTTATGCCTAACAACAGACATGGCTGGCACCATTGCACCCGCAAGGTCTGGGTCATCATAGTCTGTGCCATGTGAGGATCTAGACCTATCTTCGGATGGGGGCGTAATACCAGAGGAATTCATGCCTGAGCCGCACGGATGCGATAGCTTTTCCTGCACACGCGAACCAAGTCAGTGCGCCAAAGGCAGCACTCTCCAAGGCCGGTGATTTGTGCCTGGTGGGATTATGAGATGTGCACTTACGGCTACACTCAACGTAGATTATTGAATGATGCAGCAACGCACTCAGTCACACAAGGATTGATATACCTCACTAATTGATAATGGGGAATCTCCTTTGAACCTAAACCTTTTGTTTGCAATTTGGATGCAAATGTGAAGGCTCACCAATGCAGTTGTGTGCGATTGGAAATGTGTGTGACTTCGTGCGTCTTTGCGCCACAGCTCTTCGGAGCGCCAACGGCTGCTCCCTGCACAGGATGAGAAAATATCCTCGGTGCGCCAACGGCTGCACCCCTGTCGTGAGAACCAGGTGATCTACTACCTGCGAACCTCCTCAAGGAGCTCTGCGGTAGTGAGTGCACGGGCAGGCTGAATGGGCGCTCGGTCGGTTTGATCCAACCACTGCTCAATGGCAATCAATGCGTCCAAAGTCCCCTGCACCCCCTGGCTGGGGTACGCCCTGAAAGCGTGCGCGCCTGTGAGTCGCGCCTCACGACAGATTGTGGCGTTGTCGTCCACAAGGATATGTGCTGCCCAACCGTGCAAAAGGTTTGCTTTGCCAGCAACGCCAACCCTGGAGCGCGTGAACTGCGTTGTACCAACGTAGATGCCCTTGTAAGCCAAGTGTACCCTTGCTGTGGCGATCTCCGGTGCCGTAGTTCGCTCGCGCTCGACCCCACAATAGCTGCAAATAATCCAATTGAATGGACCGTGAGCTGTCTGTAGACGAATCAATCCGTCCACGATCTGTGGGTGAAGCCTTCCCCCAGAGCGGATGTTCACGTCGAGCACCCCGTGCCAGTCCAGAACGATGTTGAGCGTCTTCCGGTCCGCGAGGGGTGTCCGAGGTGGGGGATCTGGGATCCCGTGGCTTTCTCGCCTTGGTGGAGGAGGCTGAGGTGGCTCTCGCTTCGGCGGTTGTCGCCAAGGTGGGTCTGGAGCGCCAAAGGCTGCTCCCTGCCCTTTTGGTGGCAACCTCAACGATGCCGGCGGCTGCTTGTACCTGATGTGTGGGCCAGGCCGGCTGCTTGCAGGGACAGAAGCCTTTCTGGCTGGCGGTGCTGCTGATCGTGGAGGCGAAGAAGATCTTGCTTTGCTCAAAGCACGTCCGCGACTGCTTGCCAAAAATGCTGCAACTGTTCCCCGCGCCGCTGGCCGCGTCCCAAACTTTGCTGTGGCTTTTGTAGCAGGGGCCGGAGGTGGGGCCGTCGATATAGGTCGATGAAACGGTGCTTCGTATACCCCACCCGCCCGGAATGCTGCTCTGCCTGAAAGCAAATCTTCGGTGTTGTGCACTGTATCCCCGTCGGAGTAGTCTGCCAGATGGTAAACCTCCGCGTTCCCGTAGTTTGGGGTCGAGGAACTGGACCTTTCCCCGTAGGCCTCGGGGCGGAGCCACACGTCCGTTGGCAGCTCGTGAGGATCACTGAACTGCGGCAAGCGTGATCGGGCTCGGCCTGAAAATGCCCGTGGAGCGCCGGAGGGCTGCTCCCTCTGCAATGTCCACGTGCCGGTCCGATCGATGCGAACCGTCGGATAGGCCGAGCTCCTTGGCGCCAGCACGATCGGCCTGTCGGTTGGCGAGGTCCTTACTCCTCGATCTGCCTCGCGAGGATCGACTGGTCGTCGGGCGAGGAGTTCTGCGGGTTCCCGAAGGCTCCCGACTGCTCGACTCGCCTGCCGCGCCGAGGGCTGCGGCCTCCTGGATCGGTGTCGGAGTTCTTGACCGAGAGCGAGATCAGGTGGGTCTGGAGCGCCAAAGGCTGCTCCCTGCCCTTTTGGTGGCAACCTCAACGATGCCGGCGGCTGCTTGTACCTGATGTGTGGGCCAGGCCGGCTGCTTGCAGGGACAGAAGCCTTTCTGGCTGGCGGTGCTGCTGATCGTGGAGGCGAAGAAGATCTTGCTTTGCTCAAAACACGTCCGCGACTGCTTGCCAAAAATGCTGCAACTGTTCCCCGCGCCGCTGGCCGCGTCCCAAACTTTGCTGTGGCTTTTGTAGCAGGGGCCGGAGGTGGGGCCGTCGATATAGGTCGATGAAACGGTGCTTCGTATACCCCACCCGCCCGGAATGCTGCTCTGCCTGAAAGCAAATCTTCGGTGTTGTGCACTGTATCCCCGTCGGAGTAGTCTGCCAGATGGTAAACCTCCGCGTTCCCGTAGTTTGGGGTCGAGGAACTGGACCTTTCCCCGTAGGCCTCGGGGCGGAGCCACACGTCCGTTGGCAGCTCGTGAGGATCACTGAACTGCGGCAAGCGTGATCGGGCTCGGCCTGAAAATGCCCGTGGAGCGCCGGAGGGCTGCTCCCTCTGCAATGTCCACGTGCCGGTCCGATCGATGCGAACCGTCGGATAGGCCGAGCTCCTTGGCGCCAGCACGATCGGCCTGTCGGTTGGCGAGGTCCTTGATGGCACACTCCTCGATCTGCCTCGCGAGGATCGACTGGTCGTCGGGCGAGGAGTTCTGCGGGTTCCCGAAGGCTCCCGACTGCTCGACTCGCCTGCCGCGCCGAGGGCTGCGGCCTCCTGGATCGGTGTCGGAGTTCTTGACCGAGAGCGAGACCTAAGCACGATGGGTACTTGGGAATAAACTGCTCGGAGAACGAGCCAGGACACAGACCGTGTGGAGGTCGTAGATGTCCTTCTCCTCGGAGCTGTACCAGCCACCGCGCCGTGGGCTGCGGTCCTCGCTGTGGGCAAAGCCGGAGCAGACAACCAAGCCTCAGCAGGTGAAGCCTGCTGGGCCACGGAAGGCTGCGCCGCCTGCTGCTGCTGAGGCGGTGTAGATGGGGTCGGAGACGAGGGAGTGGCAGGCACTGGATCTGCACCTGCCGCGCCAGTGGCTGCGGCCCTTCGCTCTTCTTCGCGGATTGCCCGGATGCGAAGGGCCGTAGGCTGATGCCACCTGTGAAGCTCCTCCCAGCGCTGCTCGGTGACGTCCCGGTTCCAGGCCCGAAGGGCAGCAAGCTGCACCTCTGACCCCGGTTCCCACTGCAGCTTGGGTGGTGTAAACCCAAAACGCTGCTCGACCTCGTCGATCACGTCCTCCTGGAGCTCCCACCACACTCGCTTCTTGTTTGCGGCTCCTCCGCGAGTTCCACGCTTGTGGTACTCTTCCTCGACGGCCATGCGCGCCCCCTTATGGGGGAACCGCTGAGGGAGGGCCTAGTTAATCCCGAAAGAAAGGCTATACGGCTGATAACCAATCAAAAGAGCAAGAAACCCCAAACGCGCGCCGAAGGCTGCGCCCTGAACAAAAAGAGGTGGATTGACCGTGGTTAATCCCTCAGCGGTTCAGGGGGTGATTCCTAGACTCTCGTTCCGCACTCAGCGCTGTTTTCTTGATGTGCGCTTGAGCCAAACGGCGTTTGCCGTTCGACAAGTCTGTCATGACATGCAACCCTCAACCTAAACCAAAGTGGCCTCAAGCAAACCTCACATCAGTGACCACACAACTAGGCAAGTTACCATGCCTTTGGGGGCTAAGGGGTCGTTATTTCTTGACTAACCTAGGTACTCATCTGTTTGTCGAAATCGGCATGCACCGCTGGGAGTGGCACTAGTGGGGCAAGTTCCCCAAGTTTAACATCTTTTAGAATCATCGGACCCCAACAACAACCCAATAGTTCCAATCGCGGATGTGCCGGGAATGGCCCAAACAACTAATAACTAGAGGCCTGACTCCTTACCGCAAGGTGACCAAAGGCATGGACCGGGTTGTGGGATCAAGGGGTTTATCCCCACGTCTGTGATACAAGATGATGCAAGGGAATCCCCTGCTTTTATGAGTCTTTGGGAGGCCCCTTTTTGTTGTATCACAGAAGTGGCTTTCATTCCCACAGCCCTGGCAAGGGCCACATATGGCCATGGGTCAAAATCGCGTACCCCCAGATCCCAATCCCCACGAAGAATAGGTTCTAAAATGGGTGGTGAATTCACCTACCCCAACACTAAAAACACACTAGCATGGGTCACCTACCCCAAAATGGGATTTCATCGGTTTTGACAACCCCGGCCGCGCCCGGAAGGCTTTCAGCCGCTGCAGCGCCGCGGGAAGTTGAGCTGCCAGCGCCGCGGCGCGGCGCGGCCTGGGAGCGGAGCCGGGCCGGGGGGTGCTCGAAATCAGTGCCTCAAGGCGCCTCAGTTTCAGGAAACAAACAGCTCTTGCCTCAGGCAGCCTCAGTTGCACATGATGCATCTGTTAGTTTTTGATGGGGGACACCTAATGCCGTGTGCTTTGTTCAGGTCATGTGTCCTTTTGGTTCTCTTGTTCAGAACCATCCATAGGAAAGCTCATCATTTTGAGATAGACCGCATGCACATCGCAACCTGGGATTTAAATTTCAGTGGAAATTAAACTCAATAGTATGAATAGATAATATTGTGTGGAGACTTGGCGCACAATACCCGATAATGATGGTCACAAAGCAATACAGAAAATCCACAGGGAAATAGCCCAAGTCGACCAAGGTTACCTGAATAGAAACTGGGTGGAGCCAACCAGCATGGTGTTCGGCAGATTTTCTTCTGCGGCTAGTGGAATGGAAATTGACTGGCAACTGACGTGGAAGGTCACTCACTGCGGCGCCATACTGAAAACGAACCCAACCCCTCATTGACAAGCGGGCCATTTGCGACATGTTCTTGATGGACTTGTGGGACCAGGGGCGTGCCCCGAATGTAGCACACGTGGCTGGGACCAATGCGTTGATAAGAAATATTGCACGTGCAGCCGCTATTTTTTGTAAAACACTACGTGATGCAATGTGGCAACTGTGGCAACTAAACCATCCACAATTGAGGCCAACAAACGGTCGAAAATATATAACGCCAGTTTTGTCGAGAGTTAGGGAGTTTGCGCGTGTTCCCGCTTGTGCCAGCAAGCCACTCCGCTTTCATGTCCGGCACCATGCCCTTGCAGTCCTTCTTATAACAAAGCATCTGGCGTAAGTATTGCTAAGACATGATACTAGTAGGACAAAACACGCCGACCAACAGCGCACATCAACAGAGCTCAAGCATCAAATCCACATTCCACCCGGCTCTTGGAATGACAAACCATCTCAAACTCTGCCAACCCAAAGCCCTTGAAGAACCAACCATGAGTCCCGCCCAACTCCAAACCCGCCCGAATCCCTCAGCTCGTGGGCGGCTGAGCCGCCCGCACCCATACCCCGCCGAGGCGCGTCTCCCAGAAGCTGGTGGCATCCAAGTAGGCGCCCAGCTCCAAGCCGAGCTCTTCCGCCCCGGCTTCCACCTTGCGAATCGCAAAACCTCGGGGGAAAGGCATACCCTCTTAACATGGAACCTTGACAGGGGGGCCAGTCCTGTGAGGCTATTTTCTACACGCTGGGTCAGGTTAACGTTAATTGGGAGGGTCATTTAGCCCAAAGGAGCGATTCGATTGACTTCTTGCAAACATCGAAGTACCTCATTGTCAGGCAAGATCACTTGGAACTTTTGGACAAGTCAACAGCTTTGTGTGGCTAACTGTGCTTTGAGATCAAATTGGGTCCTTACACTAGCACAGGAGTAGCTTGCGCCCATGCTCTTACCCACGGCACTGCGCAAACACAAGACACATGCGCGCTTGCGAACGCTGCCACGTGTTTTCCTTATGTGGTCGCCCTCATGACATGCCCCCTCTTCAATCGCAATCAAGCTGATCCTGGTCTTGAACCCTGCCAACGCGCTTTGTCAAACATCTCCCCATTGACATGCGACATATTCAAGATTGCGATTCAGTCCGCCCGCCACGCGGGCCACATCCGGCCAGCCCCCTCTCCGTCTCGCCTCCCGGTGCAAAGTCCCCAAGTCCTCGCCCCAGGCCAGCCACAGCTGGCCGGCGCCGGGCTCATCCCGCGTTTCCCGCGGCTTAGCTGAGGCTCCTGCGCCCCAGAACCCGTTTCCGGCTGCAGGAGTTAGGCTCAGGGAAAGAACCCAGTCCCAGAATGCTTTGACATTGCTACGACCCTGGATGCCCAACCCCTGCACGAGGACCAACCAAGGATGTATGTGCCATCCTCCCTTCCTCTCCTACCACCCGTTCCCAACAGAGTGCCTTGCACACTAGTCCCTTGGGCCTTGAACAGAGCTCGCATGACCAACAGGGTAGGAAGAATAAGCAGTTGATGAAGGCAAAAAAAACTAGGCTCAAGGAATGAAAGCATCGGCCCACCACAAAAGGCAACTAATTGAGGCCAGTCACACTAAGTTGTGGGCAAACACCCTACCTCGCGAATAAGAACACATTATGTCCTTATTTCAGCTGGAGCCTCCATGCGATTCCTAGACGAAAACTTGCGCTCAAGAATGCCCACTCAGTCGCCAACCAAATGTCACTAGACATCATAAGGATGATTAGTCTCTAGTTTGCTAGTGCTTGTTGAGGGGTTCCTTTCTTATACGGGGACGTCGAACATGTCCTTGTTTTGAGTTGGCACGTGTTTGAAATATATTCTGTCAGCGCATGCCCTGTGTGGCTCCAGGGTTTGCAAGCCAGTGCAAGAAGGGGGCAAGCTGGAAAGTCACAGGGTCTAAGAGTTCTCAGTCTCGGTATTCACAATTGATCATCAAGCGTTTGTAGCTGTTTCGGGTGCTGGAAGGTGTTCACCGCAAAGACTGCCCAAAGCCTCCGTGGGAGGAACAGACTCGAGAGCTCTTGCTTCCAATCGATATGCGCGAACTGCGGGGCAGCAACCTCACTTTGTAGAGAATTTCATCCTCAATCCCTTCAAACAGAAGCCCTCGCAGAGATTGTTTCTGAGCATCCAGAATCCCAACCCAGAGCGGAACCAAAGCGAAGATGATTGAGCCGGGCCATGTCAAACATGGACAAAAAAGGCAGCCCCTTGTCCGCCCCCGCCTTTCTGCCGCTTTCGCATGGCAACGGCTCCACAAACCGGCTGTGTGCTGCCCCCTCCAACTCTGTGGCTCTTGACTTTCAGGCTTTCTAGCACATGTACAGGCATAAGCTAGCTGGCGGCTTACACAACCAAACATGTCCAAGCACGTGCGTGTGCGTGCGCGTTCTGACGGCTCATATCGATTAGCCCGTGGCATGCCATCAGTAGACCTTGCGACCAAACAAACGGCAGTTATGAGCAAGGTTTCAACCTGCTTGATCAAAGCCAAACCAGTGTCTTCTGAAACATCGAGCCTGATAATGCTTTACAGAACGGCAGGGACACAACGCGGTGCCGTGTCAAGCTGTTCCCAGGATTGTCACAAGCACCTCCAGGCCTCAAGGTGCCAGTGGCCTTTTCACATGTCTGGCGTCTTCCCGCCAGTTGTGTCACTTGACAGTAAACAATGAAGAGGCAGTATAACTGACGTGTCCAATCTGAGCAATCGGCTCCGGTAGTTGAAGCTCCCGGCTTCGAAGCGCGCTAAACCCCCTTATCACATGCCGGTCAACTACCCCTGTTTTGGCTACATGGCCACGACATCGGCACTTTAGAAGCTTGAGCCAGGAGGAATCGGAAACAGCACTCGGATCTGAGTAACAGGCGAGACCAAATGGGCGCCGGCACGTGCTACCACTGTGGCAGCGACCAGGACCTCCCCCCTCCTCATGCGTACAGCACCCATTGGTTCATCTAACCGGCCATGCGAAAATTGTGCATCAACGCTGCTGGAGGTGCGAACTAGGTTTTCACGGTTGTCGTGTTGGACAGTAACTACCCCCAAGTGGCAACAATAGGCTTCTGCAATGGCATCGAGTGAATGTGCGTTTGCGAGGTCATTGTAGGTACAGCCAGGTTGAATGGGTGAATGGAATAGCTGCTGCCCAGGGCTGAGACAAAACAAACATAATATCAAGCCCGACAAACAAATCATGCACACAAACTAGCTGCAGCTGCAAGGATTGTTGACCTAAGTGCATCCATGTACTCCTACAGCAAGCCCATCCAACACAATCGAGGTTTGCCTCGTTCCCTGCAAGTATCTGGCAGTGGCAGCTCCTGTGCTTCAAACCAGCCACACACCATACCACATGTAAGAACAGGCAGAAGCGACAGCGTATCAATGCACATGCCTGGTCAAGCGCCATGCCAATCTTCATGGTTATTGGGCCCCGGCTGTGAGCTCTCAAAGCTCGCCTGGGAAACATGCAGGACTGCAGGACGACGGAAGCCTGATCTCATTTGAGGCTGGGAAAGGGGCCCCCTGAGCACAGTTACCTTCGAAGGGCCGCAGTAATTCCCCCAAAAGGGGGAGCAAAAGGCAAGCCCTTGCGGGCATCGCGTTTTTCGATGCACCGGCCTCATCATTGAACCTTCGGAATTGATCTCGGGCAAAGCGCCGTGCGCATCCAGGGGCGCATTTATATATATATATGTGTGTGTATGTAATATCCAAGTGAGAAAGATGCGGGACATGCGAGGATCCCCAGCCAAAAACACATTTGACCATGCTGAAGTGCTAGGTTTTGTGGCAAGTGTTCTCATAGATGCGGGCATCGGAGTGCCTGAACTAGTTCTTGACCGCCTTATACAGCTCCAGGGCGAGCACAACTAGAACTCAGTTCTTTCGCTGCCTACTTGCTCAAGACACTACTCAAGACAATCCTCAAGACAGTAATTTCTGGACACCTTGCTTCCCACAAAAGGGAGTGAAGCTACATGAATGCACTCGTCTTGAGCAAGGGATGCTCCGCTTCTGACGTCTTCCCGTGCTACAAGGGGAGGATGGTCGGCTTTCGTGTTTTTGTGTTTTTCCTTTTTTAAATTAACGGTAGTCACTTCTACCTATGTGACTATAATGCTTTATGTTGAGGGTTGCTTGTCTATGTTTGTAGTTTTCATTCGTCACCTAGTTAATAAATCGCATAAGTTCGAGGACATGCGAATACAAAACAGGGAAACACAAAGCATCCGTCACCTGCTGCAAACTCTCTTTGATTCACACTATGGCACTTTAGGTCGCCCATGTCCGCTTCAGCAGTGCAAAGGCAACAACCCTTGCTCCGATGCAAGCTGCCTCTGCCTCTTCTCCAGCCAGCGAGCCCAAGAGGAAACGCACAAAGCCGCAAGGCGCCTCCACATGCATCCCACCCAGCACGCTCTCATACCTCTCTATGACACTCTGCGAGGAAATTCATGCGGGAGCTGAGGGCATGGAGAGAGTGCTTCCCCTCTCCAAATTGATCCGGAGTGGCCACTTACCCACTGGTCTGTGGGAAGTTGGTCGCCCAGCGACAAGTTGCCGAAGCACGTGATTTTGCTCTTGTAGCTCATTTGGGCACACTGTGGCTCATGTTTTACGCTCAACTTGATTCATGCAAACTATGAAGAGCCGCTTTGCTTCTGACTTTTCTTTGAATGATCACTTTGCAAAGAAGTCGAATGGCAGCATTGAGCCAAAACCACACTTTGCCGGCAATTTGGAACACCGCCTGGTTCAACACAGGCACATGTTGAAAAAACGTGCTTGCGGGCAAGAACACCAACATAGATCGGGGTTTTGCAAAACACCCAGTGGTACCACTGGTGTCCACTTGTGCCACCGCCTTAAGAAAGGAGGGTTCGTCCCCCATTCGATTTTTCTGGTCGTTGGCGCGTAAGGGGGGATGGAACTACAAATGGGTTGCCTTGTTCCCTCTCTCTCTCCCTCTCTCTCTCTCTCGTGTATGACATTCTTCGACCTTCCTCTAAACAGACCCAAGCTTCTGCGGCGTGAACTAATTATTGCTTCAGTGGGATGTCTTTGATACTTTTGACTTCGGTTGCAGCCAATGTTGTTTAAACAAAAGCCTTCCGCGGAGATTCCGCGAGGCAAACCCTTGCGGATGCCACGAACGTTTCGCACGAACAATGCCTCCCCGCTTGGGAAATCGACCGGGTATAAAAACAAAACAAATCCAAACCTCAAATGGAATTTCAGGGGTCAACGATTTTAGGGGTGACCCTTCTGCCTGCACTCCATTTGAGTGGGAATGCCACCCGACGCGACGCTTCCGCCTCTCTGGGGATCAGCAGCGTCACTGAGCTCCGTGGACCGCTCGCCTGACGGACTTAGCTGGCTGGCGTTCAGCACAACTTTTCAGTTTCTATTTTTTGGGGGGGTGCTGGAAAAAAAACAATGGAAACATACCTCACCCACCTTTACAGTAGGAGGGTCCCTCTTTGCAGACACACCCGCATGCTCTCCACGAGAAACTGCGATGTCAGTGCACCGCGGAGTTAGGATACATTTGGGAGGGAAGTGCTTTTAGGCAGCCCCTGCAAATCCCAGGGAAGCCGATGGCAGCAAGGGTTATGACCGATGGGCACCAAAGGTGAATCCGTACCCATGCAGCTCAAAACTCATGGCAAAAGCCACAACAAGGATAGCAACATGGCATCAGCTCGGTGGACGTTGTGCGCTTACAATCTTTAATACTCAAGCACATGTCCAGCCCCTTTCAGCAAACAGTGGTTGGAGGACCATGGACTCCCTGTTGCGAGTATCCCAAGTCGTGCAAGTGGCACCTTTGGGCTTCAAGGGTGGTCCCCATTGCCACAAAACCGACCCCCTCTCGTCGACATGCGTCGCCCCAAGGATGGTGAGGTGCAGGGAGTGCAGCGCTCGGAACTGGTCCGGGGGCGGGTCCTCAGCTACATCGGAAAGTGCAAAATGGCGCCAGGTGTTGATCAGGAAGCCCCGGTCAAAAGCCAACAAGGAATCCACAAACCAGCCCCATCCTCGTTTCATGCCACTACCATGAATGCTGTGTTGTCCCAACTCCCTAACACCCCCCCCCAAACACTTGGATTTTGCAAACCAATACTTACGTCCAACACGAAACCAACAAAATCCCTGCATGCCACCGCAGCTACCTGGGCGGGTATCTGACAACAGAGCTCCATGTATTTGCCCTGAACTGCTTCAACGAACATGTTGCATGGTGCATTAGAATTGTGTGGGTTTCTGTGCCTGGCAGTGCCCGGCAAGGCGAGGATGATTAGGCAGGTAACAAGGCTGCTTCGTCGAGCAATAATATTTAATATGCCATGGGGGCCCCTGTGGATGCCCTCATCTGCGCTCACATTATACTGGTCTTGCAAAGTGATGATGCTTGGGGCTCCAGGCTCTCGTTATTTCTTGCTCAAGGGGCATGGAGGCCACGAAGAGCAGAGGTGACGCCGACTGGTCTTCGAGTTAAACACAAATGCGCCAAAGTTGTGGTTGCTTCTGAATGGGCGGAGTTTACGCATGTGACTTCTCACTGCTGCCAAGCAGTATGCAAAGTAGGCAAGCTGCCATGTCCCAGCTCCAGGGTCCAGGCGTACTTGTGGAGCAACTGGCCGAGATACCTGACGGCAACCCGGCAGGGCCAACCCCCTCCCCTCCATCGCCCTGCAACCT